GTCAATTATATAGTCAAAAATGGCGAGCAAACAATCATCGGGAATTTCATTGATCAACATTTTATCATGAAATGCTTAAAACCAAAGTTTTCCTTGAGTCTAGTGATTTAAGCTAAAATAATATTCAATGGTGAATCACTAGATTTGATCAGAATATAGACTTCCCTGTAGTTCCCATAGATGTCAGCAGTAGATTGAGATACTGTTATTATTTAACCCTGTTCAAAGAGTAAAGAAGTTCTAATCCTTTGACCACAAAGACATTTCTTTAGGTTAGACAATAGATAATATTGACTAGAAAAATAGATCGCGAAATAAAATGGATGAATAATAGAGGTTAAGTTGAAGCTCTTCGAATGGGCTTCAAGGTACAAAATAACAAATATACAATTTAATAAGTAGTTTTCAATAATCAATCGGAATCAAAAAATTTGGAAGGAATACATGTGGTTTGAGGAAGCAATGTTTCATGAAATCAAAGTCTCGACTAAATAGTGTGTATTCACTGGATAAATGCGGCCAATCTGATTTGAGTTCATCACGATTCCCTTTGAAGTAAAATTTGATTGATCGTCCATATCTTTTACAATAGTCTTGAACATAATCAGCAGCTCTTTGAGTGACTTCCTGACACTCCCTAACATCCCATAGCACTAAATTGGGTAAAATGTGAACCAATTGCTCGATATGTTCATCTTTTATATCCCAAAAATTCCACAATGCAAGATGTTTGAGATTCGGATACTTCATAAGTAATCTTTTTAACCTATTCCAGGTATTATGGTATCCACACTGCAAATATAAAATCAAATAGTTTATATGAAAAATTTTGAATAGATGACCCTTTTCATGTTGGCCTAACCTAAACTTGTTGATTTTAATCTGAAATGTATCTGAATAAATTTCTAAATTTCAAATGTGAACAATACTTACAAAATCTATAACTAAATCTTGCAAACATTTGTGTTTCAATGTTTCATCAAAAAACCAATCATCAGTACGCATGGTAATATGTGCACTTTGCAAATTTGGACATGAATCCATCAACTGGAAACCATAAAACAATTGTTCTGCAGGTTGTTCATCGTAATAGTGATAAATCTCAAGTATTTTGAGCTTTTCCAATACTGGACCATCGTAGCGATTGTCTAGAACTGAACGATAGATTTTCATAAATGAAAATTTCTGACCAAAATATTAGATAAAAATATTTCATAATTACTTGTAATTTGAATCGTTAGTTTTTCAAGGTTTGGCAAATAATGTGCATCTCTTTCCAAAGCTTTTAGACTATAATTCGAAACATTCAATTGTTTCATGCAGGAACCATTTTGTAAATTGTCTGGATTGAAATGATTGACAGATAGCATTTCGAGTTCATCACAATATTTTTCTATTGGTACAACAAAATGATTGATTAATCCTTTCAAAGATTTTTGGTTTTTAACAAATTCAATAGCATCTTCGGCTTTGTTATGAAACTTGGAAGACAATTCAACAGCCTGTGTTAATAAAATAAATAAGAAAATTGAATTTTTGATTAAAAATGCAAAAAAGATTAATAATATCAACCTACTATTAAATTGGTAAATAATTTACTCAGACAGGTTGAATCAATCGTACTTATTTTTTGATAATGAACAACACCAGGTGGATAACCCTCTCCAAAAAACGGAACTGAAAATATAAATTTCTGTGATTAAAAATGGATGACAATGAGCATGAAACATTAATAAAACTTGAATCTTACATGTTAAATATTTAACTTTTTTAGCCCGCTTGGTAATTAAATAACTCCATTTAATACACACTGTAATGAAATTTTACTAAATTAAGTAATAATACTTTCAAAACCAAACTTGTTTCATGTTAGATGAATGAATTAAGAATGGAACAAAATTTTGTACTGTTCTAGTTACTTCTATTTGTTACGAATCTCCGAGACAAAAATAATACAACAATATTATTTTCGGTTCGGAAGAATACAACACTAGACTTAACATCTGTAAGAATATTCAAATAGTGCGCCCTATCAGTCAGATGGTTTAGTCATGCAATAATCACAAGATGAAACTTTTATAATGAATTATTATTTTGTAACCGCAACGGCCGAAGCTATTAGTAATAAAGTTAATAGTTGACTCATGCGAATCCATCTCTGGTCAATTCAGCAACATTCAGTCTGTCACGAAAAATTGACTCTCGTCAAATTGAAAATGTATCTTTATTTTTTAAAGAAAACATTGAATTGAATTTAACTCAAAGAATATAGCTCTGAGCATAAAACGCCTTACTAGGGAAATAGATGAATTGACACAAGAAGCATGATTGGTACTTACCTTTATAACAGTTTATTAAATCCTCTAGGTTGTTCAGATAATCAAAAATGGCGAGCAAACAATCATCGGGAATTTCGTTGATCAACATTTTATAATACTATAAAATGCTCAAACCTATAGTTTTCCCTCGAGTCTGGTGATTCAATCACTGTGATGTATCCCAAAATGATAAAAGATATAATCATTCATTTAAAATTGTTTTTCCTTGTAGTTCCCATAGATGTCAGCAGTAGATTGAGATAATTTCTTATTTGAGCTTCTAATTTTATGAATTCAATTTCAGTTCAGATTTTTAAAAATCTCCGGTTTAGTCAACTTAACCCTGATCACTAGTGTAATGAAAATTGTTGCCTCTATTCAATTTTTAGTCTAATCATGTATTATTTGAAATTTTATTGAATCATAAACATTTTTAATCTATCTCCAAAGAAGTCAAATAAATGTTTATTTTATTTAGAAACTGCATAAAAATATCAATCATTATAAAACTATTTTTACCTTTAATCTTTCTATTCATCAAAACGCTTTTTTAGCAATTTTTTATCAGATTAACTGTTTTTGCACGCTCACACACAAAGTATCCAGGCTCTAGCTGATAGTATTACACGTGAATATGGTCGATGAAGCATAACGACGTTGAGCGAGGTCCAACCACAACATCTCGTCGTCACTCAACTAAACCAATTTTCTATGGTAAAGCCATGTCCACTATAAATTTGACTGATGCAGGAAACAGTGTCACAAATAGTCCTAACTTAGGAAACCATCCATCTATGGATTATGTAAACAACTAACAACAACAATTTTTGTGGTCAGCATAAAATTCTGTTTCAGTGGAAAAATTTATTTGAAAAAATTCTGACAATAGGCCATTTTTGACATCCTCCTTTTAGTCGAATCATGTGAACTGTAAAATTTTATTGCAATATCTTGAACCATAAACATTTTTAATCAAATTCACCGTAAACCAATCTTTTTTAGACCAATCTATCTTCAAACAATCAAATAAATGTATTTTATTTAGATATAGCTACAACCATTTATCTTTTACCTATCATCATTATTTTTGAAACCTCGATGAAAGTTAACTACGGATCTAAAGTTCTAATCATTTAACCAAAAAAACATTACTTTTTAAAACGTACTTTTCAATAATCAATTGGAATCAAAAAATGTGAGAGGTAGTTAAAGTCTTTGCGAAAGCAATGTTTCATGAAATCAAAGCCTCGACTAATTTTTTCGTGTTTAGTGGATAATTGAACCCAATCTGATTTAATTTCATTACAATTTCCATCGAAGTAAAATTTGATTGATCGTCCATATCTTCTACAATAATCTTTAACATAATCAGCAGCTTCTTGAGTGACTTCATCACACCCGATAACATTCAATAACACTAAATTGGGTAAAATGTGAACCAATTCCTCGATATTTTCATCTGTTATACTTTCAAAACCCCACAACGCAAGATGTTTGAGATTCGGATATTTCATAAGCAATCTTTTACATTTATTCCAGGTATCATTAGCTTCATCATATCCATCCTATAAATATAAAATCAATTAGTTTATACGGAAATATTTTGAGCAGATGACCCTCTCTATGTTGACTGAACCTAACCTTGTTGAATTTGATCTGAAATGTATCTCAATAAAATTGTAAAATTCAAATGAACAATTAATTTTCAAATCTGAACAATACTTACACATTTTATAACTAAATCTTGCAAACATTTGTGTTTCAATGTTTCATCAAAAAACCAATTAGGTATCCATGGAAATATGTGCACTTTGTAAATTTGGACATAAATCTATGAAATGGAAACCACGAAAAATGGTTGCAGGGCAGCAAAGGTAATAAAATTCAAGTATTTGGAGCTTTTCCAATAGTGGACCATCGTAGGGAATGTCTGGACCTGAACGATAGATTTTCATAAATGAACATTTCTGACCAAAATTTTTTCATAATTACTTCTAATTTGAATCGTTAGTCTTTCAATGTTTGGCAAATAATGGGCATCTCTTGTCAAAGCCTTTAGACTATAATTTGAAACATCCAATTGTTTTAAGCTGGAACCATCTTGTAAATTGTTTGGATTGAAATGATTGACAGAAAGCATTTCGAGTTTATCACAATATTTTTCAAATGGTTCATCAAAAGGATTGATTAATCCTCTCAAAGATTTCTGTTTTTTAACAAATTCAATTAGATACCGAAGTGAGCCGAAAGTCTCTCG